TCATCATCATCATCACCCTCCGCCTTCTCCTCCTCATGCCGGCCCCACGGTAGCGCCCTTGGCCGTGGTAGCTGGCGCTGTGGTACTGAGTGAGCGACAACTGTGCTTCTAGATATAATAATAAGGTTTTTTCATGGGTTTGGGTCCCTTTTTTCCCCTTTTTTCCCCTTTTCCCCCCTTTTTTCCCCCCTTTTTTTCTTTTTTTTCTTTTTTTCTTTTTCTTTTTTTTTCCCTTTTTCTTTTTTTCCCCCCTTTTAAATTTTTCTTTCATCTTTTTCTTTTTTTTCATCTTTTTTTTTTTATCTTTTTCTCTTTTTTTTCATCTTTTTCTTTTTTTTTTTTATCTTTTTCTTTTTTTTTTTTTCCTTTTTTTTTTTTTTTCATCTTTTTCTTTTTGAGACCTTTTTTTTTCTTTTTTTCCCTGGGAATATAACATTTTTTTCATATTCATGTAAATGCCCCTTTCCCTTTCCCCTTTTTTTTTTTTAATTTCCTCCTTTACCTTTGTGGTTGTTTTATTTATGGAAAATGTATCAGAAGATGAGCGAGATCTTACTTATTTAATTATTTTTTTTTTAAATGACAGGTTGTTTGTAGTGTCTTATAGAATCATGGAATCGTTTGGGTTGGAAGAGACCTTTAAGATCATCAAGTCCAACCATTAACCTAACACTGTCAAGTTGCCCCTAAACCGTGTCCCTCAGCGCTACGTCTGCCTGTCTTTTAAATACCTCCAGGGATGGTGGTTCTGCCGCTTCCCTGGGCAGCCTGTTCCAATGCTTGATGGTTCATTCTGTGAAGAAATTTTTCCTAATATCCATCCTAAACCTTCCCTGGTACAACTTGAGGCCGTTTGCTCTTGTCCCATCACCCGTTCCTTGGGAGAAGAGACCGACTCCCCCCTGGCTGCACCCTCCTTTCAGGGAGTTGTAGAGCGAGAAGGTCTCCCCTCAGCCTCCTTTTCTCCAGGTTGAAGAACCCCAGCTCCTTCAGCCGCTCCTCACAAGACTTGTGCTCCAGACCCCTCACCAGCTTTGTTGCCCTTCTCTGGACTCACTCCAGTACCTCAATGTCCCTCCTGTAGTGAGGGGCCCAAAACTGAACATCTTCTGATGTTTCCAGTGACTTTTGGCACCAAAGTTATTAGGAGTCTGAATTTGTGGTACTCTGGTGTTGCATAAATTCAGTCTCAAAGAATGTACTTTAAAAATATTTATTTACTTTTCTTTGACTGCCCTGTGCCTTCTGATAACCTCCCAAACTTGTCCAAATCCTGGCCACCTGCAGACTAGACAGCTATTGTGAGAATCATACAGCATAAATCCGGAATGAAAAATAGAACAATTGCATAATTAACGGTGTGGGTTGAAGAGAAGATTGTTTAAAAGTAGAACATTATGCTGGAGCAGCTGAGTAATTAAATCCTGCCCTTGTAATGCTCTTCACTTTTTCTGTACAATGCCCTGACTGTACTATAAGTCATCTAGCAGTTATAAAAATGCTATAGTTTATGTAGGCTAAAATCACATCTTACTCAAATGGCCTTTTTGTCTGCTTAATTTACTTGGAAAACTCTTGCTCTTTGTTACTGTCTGTCTCAAAGAGGATCAGATCTGAAAGTTATTCTGTGTCTGTTCTGCACTTGAAGGTATAGCTGCAGCAGAGGTCTGTATCCTACCTGAGGTGGCAAGTTACCTCAATTTAGCAAGCTTTTTTTCACTGTTTTTGTTTGTTTGTTTTTTGTTTTTTTGCACTTTATAGAAACGGAAGCTCCAGTTAAGCCCAGAGCAATGTAGCAACTTTTATGCAGACCAGTATGGAAAAGTGTTTTTTCCCAATTTAACAGCCTATATGAGTTCTGGACCTCTAGTTGCTATGGTTCTTGCCAGACGTTGTGCAGTCTCATACTGGAAGGAACTGCTTGGACCATCAAACAGCATAAGAGCTCAGAGAACTCATCCTCACAGGTAAATCACTGGTTGGTCTTGGTGAATTTAGTAGGATTTTGTCTTTCTCTTAATTGCAATCAGAATTTATCTCCTTTTTTCTTTATTTTTATTTTTTACAGTAGAAATATAGATTAGGAGTGGCCTCTTATCTCTTCAATTTTATGTAACGTAGCTTTTCACCTTTGTTTTTTAGTATGTAAAGTTCAGCCATTTTATGGAGAACACTGAGTGTATGAAAAGATTTTAGGTAGCAATGTGTTTTTTTAAAAAAACAACCACAAAATCAAGCCAATGACTTGTTAATTAGTCCATATATATTGCTTGTATAAGCTCTCAGACTGTAGAGACTTGGCAGGGATTTGCAGTTGCCTACCAAGCAGTTTTTTTCTTTTGTTTTTAGCTTAAGAGCAATCTATGGGACTGATGAACTGAGGAACGCGCTTCACGGCAGTCTCAGCATTTCCACAGCAGAAAGAGAAATTCGATTCATGTTTCCAGAAGGTAAAATGATGCAGATCATACCTTAACAATCTTTGGGAGGATACTGTTCTTCCCTGTTATTACTTGTCTCTGTCCAGTCTCTGGATACAATTGGATCTAGAAGAGGTTGGGTTTGTTTGCTTTATGAGAACGTGAGTCTCTTTATGTATAAGCTGATACTTTCTGCTATGAAAAACATACCAAAGTGTACCTGAAGAGCCATTATAGTTAAAGGGATTGCTTCTACTTTTCAAACTCTTTGATCTGGGAATTGGAGCAGAGAAAGCTGGTAAGTGAGAGGAAATGGGAAGCTATTACACCCCAGCACGTCTTTCTGGCACTGTCAGCCTGGGGGACTCTTGTTGGCATGAGAAGATGGACTCTCTTCTTGGGCTCAGGCTGAGTAATTCCTGTTCTGCAGCAGCTGGGTGCTCACATGGTAGTGCAATTCCAAAGTTAAGTGTCAGAGAAATGGGCCACAGAACCTGGAAAGGCTGGGAGAGGATCTCTCGTTTGTATTGTACCAGTTGAAAGATGACCGCTCTTTGACAGAGAGATGTAAACGCAACTCTCCTAGAAAAAATTGTCTGTTTCTGGCAACTGTTTCAGGTGGTTTAATATATATAGTTGAACTTCCCTACAAACCTTACCCACTGTAAACCACGTCTCTTCTCCTTACCCTAATGCCAAGGCTGGACTTAAGATTTGAGATTTTAGGGTCTTCAGAAACCAGCTTCACACCGTGAGAAGGAAGTACTAAACATGAGATATATTGTTTCTCTCCTGCATCCAATGCATTTTCAAGGATATAGGTTTTCCCCCGATGATCTGATTTCCTCCCTTTCATATTGCCTATAATTAGTAAGATGACCTCAGGGACATTGTAAAGGGGTTCAGGTAGTTTCTTTGCAGTTTATTGTGAGAGAAGCTCTAAAAACCATTATCTATTATTAACTTATTCAGGAAAACAGCAGCTCATACATAAACAGCCTTTGAAAGAATGCTTTTTTTTAATCACACTACAAGCTGCTTTCCAACACCTGTGGTTATTCTTTACAGCGATTTTGGAGCCGATTCCAGCTGGACAAAGAGCCAGGGATTACTTAAACCTTTACATAAAGCCTACGTTGCTGGCTGGGCTCACTGCTCTCTGTAAGGAGAAGCCAGCAGACCCCATGGTACGTACAGTTATGTCAGTCTCATGTTATATGCTTCGTGACACATTTACTTTGTATTAGTAAAGTCCCTAAATACAGCAAAGCTGCTGTTTTGTTACAGAGCTGTGCTGGTTTAGCTACCTGCTAACGAGTTAATCAAATAACGTTTGCCTTTCAAGAAGTTGATTGGTTTGGTAACAGATGAAACGAGGGCCAGGACTAAATGAAATCAGCCTTGATGAAATGACAGGGTTTTTAGGTGACTTCTATAAACCCCTTTCTAACACATAGTTGTTACGTATGGCTGGAAAGGTAAATGGGTACTATCATATAATTGCAGATACAAGTTTTTACTTTATTCACTGTTTCTGAGTTTGAGATGAAGTAGCTTTCATACAATAGATACTAATGAGATGCTAATCACGCTGGTAGTAGTTCCACAGCTGAGTAAAATACTGTAGAGTTCTTAGTACATGTCTATTTTGTCATTGTTATGTTTAGTTAATTTAATATTATCGAACCTTCTTTAGGGTAAACTATTATTTTGACTATACAGCATTGATTAGCATTTATGTGGGTTGCTCCACAGTTCACTAGGAAAATGAATTATGATTCGAGTGAAACCTATCTTGTATAGTCAAACTGACCTACAGAAAATTCTTCTGTCTTCTTGTGACTCCTTTCTAGTTATCAAGCTGATGCCTCTTGCCCTCCTGTCTAGTATTATTCCTTTTAATCATGGGTGTCGTTCAAATTAACAGTTCTTAGTGGAATGACTAAAGTTAATTTCCTGATAGGCTTTTTGTTTTGTTTTGTTTTTGAGTCCCTAAACAAAATTAGCTTTCTTTCATCCGGAAAAATGTGGTAAATGTTTTGTGTATTCTTAAAGTTCAAGTCGTTCACACTAGTACTTCCTTAAGAATGGAGATAATTAATCAGTGTGACAACTCACTGGCAGTTGTGGTGGATTCTACATCATTATCAGGTTTTAATCAACATTGCATTTTTCTAAAAGATATATTTTAGAAAAAACAAAAGGCTGGAAAAATAATTCAGAGGTGCTTCTATGAAGTATGTAGTATACATAGGGTCAGATTAAATGTACTGTGATTGTTTCTGTTTGCTTTATCTGTACGTCTGCCACTGTTACCATAGAAATCTAGAAAACAGGGGTGAAGAAATCTTTTCATCCATCCCTCTGCCCAAAGGCCAGACCAATTGTATCTAACCATTCCTAACAAATGTTTGTCTGGCCTCTTCTTTAGCACTCCAAATGATGGAGAATCTACAGTCTCCCTAGGCAATCTGTTTCAGTGCTTACTTATATTTAGTTGAAAAGCTTAAATCTCCTGTGCTCCAATTTTTAGCCCATTACTTTTTTTCCCCCTTTTATTATCCCCAGAGGACATTGGAGACAATGTAATATCTCCTTTTTTTTTTTTTTAAGTGAACTATTGCATATTTGAATAGCGTTACCATCTTTTTTCCCCCTTCAATAATCTCTTCACTGTATTAAAAACTGATTTTTTTGCTCTTACTTTATAAGTCACATTTTTCTAACCCATTGTTTGGTTTTTGGTTTTGCTTCTAATTAACCTCTGCATTCTGAGAACAATTTTCAGGCCAGTTATGTGGTAACTAATAGTAACTTTGAGACCACTCTTTGCTTCCTTTCTTGCTTATAAGAAAGCTATAAAGCTATGTGAGGCAGTGTCAATAGCTTTACCAAAATGAAAATGTGGTATTTGCTCCTTTTTCCCTCTCCATAATGTCTGTGACCTTGTAACAGAAGGAAAATAATGTTGGCTTGGAACAACTTTTTTTCCAGGAATGTATGTTGGCTATTGCTTTTCGTTTTGTTTTCTGCTGGTGTGTTGGGGTTTTTCTTCTAGTATATTTGCTTTTTTTTTTTTAAATTTTTATTTTTTTTTCTGTTTTCCTTTCTGAAACTGTCCACTCAGACATACTTGCTAACAGCACGGAGGTTGTCTCAGCCAATTCCCCAAGTCACACAGGATAAATTTAATCGAGCTCAAATGATTTAAACATTTCTCATTTTCCTGAATAGTTCTTGTAAGGGCTTTTGGGTTCCTGTGCTTTGGGACTTGGGTTTTTTGTTTGTTTGTTTTCCATTTCTGTCTTGAGCTCTAACTGTTCTTCTGCTGTTTCTGTTTTCTGTGAGGATTGTGGTAGTGCTCTGCTTGTTGTCTCTTTCTGTGCAAACTGTTATTTTTGTACCTGGTAATAAAAGGAGAGTGTTGCTTACCTTACTGGGCTACTATTCTAGCAATTGTTTCACTTCACAGTATGGTATGAAGTTTCCTGTACTTGGCATTCCAGAAAATAATCGTCGACAGCCTTGTGAAGTAAATAAGTATGTGTTAAAAACTTCTCTTCACAAGTGGAGGCAAAGGGTTAATTTGCCTAAGGCCAGGCCGAGACATTGGCAGATGAAGTTGGGACTCACCACATTCCTACCTCCCACATTCTTATTGAAGTACAATTTGCTGGAAAACTTACAAGATGAATTTCAAAAAGTAACCATGTTTTTGTTGTAAGTTTTGGGTACTATAAGGTCATTTCAGTGCAGAAGACTGGCATTTTTAGCAACTAGGTATCTGTATGATATCTTCTATGATTACAAGCATCTGTAAGTGTTGTCAGGAGTAGTATTTCATTAAACAGTTTAATGCATGTTGTACAGCTTCATTCCAAAGTAGTTGTCTGGATTATTTGAATAATGGCTCAAATGTTCTTATACATATGCAATGATAGATATTTCCCAGAAAAGCTGTCTCCTAAAGTCCATGTGAACTGTTCAAAAGCAGTATAAGCTGTGAAGATTTAAAAGAACATTTCAAAAAACCAAGTTATTTGTATGTCCATTTTTTCTGAAAGTCTTCATTTTGGAGCACAGTAGGAGAGTGTCTGTATCAGAGGTTTCGAATGATGTTTTTAATATTCTCCCATACTCTTAATAGAGAACAACAGAAAACTGAAGATGGTTTTTTGGGTTTTTTTTTTTTGCTCCACAGATTTGGCTTGCTGACTGGTTGATTGAACACAATCCTAATAAACCCAAGCTACAACATCACATCACTGAGGAGGAGCATCAGGGATGAGAGCTCGGTGGAAACCATCTCAAGCATTCCAAGTTACAGATAAATATTATCATCTTCAGTGTATCCCTTGGCTCTGTAATCAATATTACCTGAAGTAAATGTTACTGTCATAACTACTTGTGTCTTCATAGGACACATAACCTTATGCTTAACCAGGATTTAATAGTTCTAGCAGCTTTTCTATTGACATAGTGAGTGTAGAATTACTTGAGAAATTTAGTGTCAGGTCATGAGAAAAAGGCAAAATGATCATCAGGTGTGATTTAACTGCTATTTTCCCCATTTATCTTGGTTTGGCTGTATGGGGAGAACAAAATTATTTACACCAGTGCAGATTCCTAAATGACATACGTCTGAGCTGGCCTGTGTTTTGTGAGACTGAGTTGTATCTCAGCAGTTTTTTAGCAAACACAAATTCTATTATGATGGGAACTATTTGGATAAAGCTTAGAAAACAGTTACTGAAGGCATATTAACAATTTTAGAATTTTAATTGCTGATTACATTACCCAGCTAAGGTCACTCTTGAAGATGATTGACTTGAGCCTGATGTATTTTGTCAGAATGTAATTTGAAGGATTTTTTTGAAGGTACATTGAATGTATCGGTCCCATCTCAGTGGTGAAAGGCACAGTGATTATAAATAAATCTTTGATTTCCATTACAAGTCACAAGAAAGTGTATTTTAGTCAAGGACTACTGCTGTGTTCCAACATTTGTTTGAAAGAAAGGTGCTTAATCGGAACAGCTCACCTTAAGGGTGTTTTCTGTGTTTTCCTGCTCTTAAAAGGTATGCTGATGTCTGTTGTTTGCTCCTGTTGTTGTTTACCCTCCAACTTTAATGGGTTGTATTTGAAAATTTCAAAGGAATGGGTTAGGGGCCATGCTATTCAACAGGCAATGGGTTAATTCTGCACTATTACCTTTTCTGAGCTAAAGCACTGCGTTTTTTTGGGAGGGCTTTTAATATTTTTAAGAGCTGTACTTGCACTGGTAATTTCAATCTTTGCCTCTTGTGGTTTGACTGGGGAGGATGGAGACAACAATATGGCATTTACACAACTCTGAAATATTAGTATGCTTGACTAATACTAAACAAACAAGCAATTTCTTAATTTGTTTCATGAGAAAACTTGCTTCCCCAACTTGAGTAATTACCAGAATCATAAGTCATTTGTCTGTAACATTAAACTTTGTTTAAGCTAATTGTTTATCTTCTCAGTGGAATAAACCACTATTGGCAGCTCAGAGAATAAACATTTAGAAAACTGGTCCTTACAGTACCAAGACCTAAAAATCTTGGGACTTTTAGGAGAAGAAGAAAAAAAAAAAGCAAGCCCAAACCCTCAAATATGAAGAATAAAATATCAGGTGGTTGGAAATACAGTAAACAGATGTGTTTACAACTAATTTATTTTGCTGTAATTATTGTCCCCATATGTGTCTGATTGCTCCAATTACAGGACAGTTGTGCTCGGTGGTTTCCTGTCAGCCAAACCAGAAATTTATGTTCTGAAGATGCCAGAAACTAAAATCCGGTGAACTCACAGGATATTATTCTGTATTTTGTTAGTTACTATGGTATTTGCTTACTTATCTTGATATGATACTGCTTGACAATAAATATCTCCTTTATATTCCTGCTGGAGTTTTCAGTTTTGCCTTTGTGACAGAATCTGTGTTATATTGTACCTGTAGAAGGTCGTAACTTCTTGAGGAACCTGCGTTCATAAGTAGGATGTGGGCAGAAGGAATGTGAAATGGACAACCAGCCTGGTCCCCTGGGGGAGCTGTGTCACCACTGGAGAGGCTGTCGGAGGACATGCTGCTTACATTTCTTTTGGTCTTTAGGTTTTTATTTGGCCCAGAGTGATGTAGGCTTGGCCAGTGGCATAAATTCATATCACAGAAAACACAGCTTTGGAAAAAAAGGCAGGTGAACTGAAAGCTGTCCTACTGTTCAGTGTCAGCACGGTAAGTACCCTCTGGGGGAACGAGCGACCTGTCTTCTCCCTCTGTCGACTCAAAATAATTACCTTGCCTATTGAGTTTTATTGGGTATTTTTAACTTTGAGGGAGTTCATTTGAGTTTTACTGCCCGAGTGCTGAAATAGAGCGATGTCCGTAAAACTAGCGGTTCGGTCTGTTTCCCATAATTCTGTTTTTTTCAACAAACTTTCTCCTGGAACTTTGCTTATCATATGCTTGCTATCACCTGCACTGCAAGTTATTCTTGGAACTATACAGATTGAGCTAGTCTGAAGTATATGATTGTTCAGCCTTCCTGTCTCATAAGGGATTTATTATCTTTAAGAGCAGTTAAAACTGCCAGGAACCTTGAACATACTTTAAAGATGGCAGAAGCCTCAATCACAGCCAGTTCCCTGTTGCCTACATAAGTCAGAACATTCCAGCCTCCCGACCTTCAGAAATGAGTTGCTGTTCAGAGCTTGGGACTTTCATTCAGCAACTTTAAGCATTAAAAAATAACAGAAAAAAAAAAAGAAAAAGGTGTTACGTGGAGATTTGCAGACACTTGTCTTTCTCACATAGGGAGAGAAGAGAGAATTTGTCTTCATTCAAGTTATTAATCTTGACCGTTCTTTAAACAACAGTTGTCTGAGCAAAATTGGTACATTGATGATAAACTGATGGACATTTATCTCGTGGCACTATTTGAAGGGAAGGAGTGACTCAAACTCTTTTTTCAGTGCCATACTAGAATGAGAGATTCTATTTAAAGACACGAGGGTCTTAGTTAATTTTAATTCGTTAAGTTTGAGCAGCCAGATAAAGATAGTTTGTGTTATTCTGCACAGAAAATGTTGGTCCTTTCTGGCACTACCCAACAACAGTGCATCCTCTGAAAATACTGTGGTTTTTCAATTTCCTTTTTAAAAAAAATCTGAAGAGTAATTATTTTGTTGGAAAGAGAGACTCTTGACACATCTTCAGAAGGTAACTTAAAATTGTTTTTGCAGTGCTGTTTCCTTCCAGATGCTGGTCACTGGACTTGTTGAACTGGAAACAGGACTTCAGTCCTCTCTCTGTTGATTACCTGCTGCTTTGCTTTGCTCAAGCCCACTTCTCTCAAACCAGTGTGGGAGTGTCACGAGGACCATCACAGGAAACAGGTGCTTTCTTGTTCTGCTGTTAGCGAAAGGGAAAAACCTGCTGTCTTTTGGGTGGTCAATCAAGAGGAGCTAGAAAGCTCTACCTAGAAATCTTTTGTGGTTGGGATGATCTGCTCTGGGTGTGGAGCGTGTCAGCAGCGTGAGCGATGTGTTGGCTCTCCTGGGGAGGGTGCCTGTCACATCTCTCTTCTTCTGCCTCCCGCCGAGCGGCGGTGGAGACGCTGCCATGGGCTCAGGGGAGAGCCTATTGTTGGGCTCCTGAGCCAGAAATGAGGCATTGTTGTGAGACAGAGTGGCTGGTGGGAGAAGAAGGCAGCTCGCAGACAAGTGGGTGAATGATACTCTAATAATGATAACACTGAAGGATTAAGAATTCTCTTTGGTTTACTGCTTGTGAGTGTTTTACAGCTGAGGGAGGCGATGCTTTCATAGGAAGTACTTCATGTAGTGCCTTGCTGGGTGTGCTTACGTTTGGGTCGTATGGCGTCATATTTTGTCCCTTGGGAACACCTGACTGGCTCATGCTTAGCTGGGGTACTATTCTGAAGCATGATTATTTAAGGAAAAAGAAAAAAAAAGATGCTAGTACCATATCTGCAACTTCTTTACCATCATATTTACTTTATTTAAAAGTCTTCTCACCTGGCATCTCTGAGTCAACCTGGATGGATCTTCTGGGTTATGGGAGAGGATTGCAAAAGGCAGTTGGGTGCCATCTGTCAGCCCCAGACTGCCTGGGCGAGAAACCACGTATGAACTCACCCTAAATTCCAGGGAATTTTTATGTGCAAGAAACTAATTTGGCTCTAAATACTCTTGGCTTTAGTAAACTACTCTGCAAACCACCCATGCATCCTTATAATCTATTTATAGTCAACCCCTAAGCTCCCATTTCCTTGGAAGGAGACGGTTGTTTTTTTGTTATGTTTCCAGAATCTGCACTGATTGTCGGGTTAGGAAATTCTGCACTTCCAAAAGCAACATCTTATTGCTACGCTGGCTATCGGTTCTTATCTCTTTGAGGTGTTGTAAAGTTGTTTTTTGTTGTTGTTGTGTTTTTTTTCCTCTCTTACTGGGTGGCATTCCTGTTGCAGTGTGAATGACAGCAGTGTTTTGTACGTATTTAGTTTTGTGTCGGGCAGACCTCACCTCTCCATGTGAGAAAATTCCCAGGAGTGTTTAACGTACGCGTGCAGATAAACCTCCTGCATGCCCCATAAAGTACTTTACTATGGGCCAATATAAAGCAGCCATTACAGGGTGATGTTTAAACTTCTGAGATTAACACAGTCTCTCAATTGCACTCACTTATTTTTATAATGTGTAATTTAGCAACCGAACCGCAAAAAGTTATGGCATAGCAAGGTCTTCTTAAAAACAGTGGCTCCGACTGTGCTTTCAGTTTGTGTCATTGTAAAGCCAGAGTGATTCCATTCTCTTAGTTAAAAGAAAGAAGGAAAATCACATCGTTTCTGGGACAGCTGCTACATTATCTGTATCTTCGAGATGTATTGTCAGGTGTTGGCATGGCATGTTCTCTGCTCCCACTGAAAGCAAAGAGTTGGTGCCAGGTTTCTCTGGAGCCAGACTTGGACAATGCTGGCTTGTGCATGCAGAACACGTTGTCATTTGCCATTTTGATAAGGCATTTGTGTGACAGTATTTTTGCCTGGACAAGGAAAGTTTGATCAAGCCTCTGTTTGAAAAGCAGATGATTTTTCTGTGGCAACCACACATCTCCATAGCCATGGGCCCATTCCCTCCTACTTGCCACTTCCAACTAAACTATCCCATGAGGATATTTCAGAATACTTTTTTTTTTTTTCTTCAAGGGTTTTCCATGTAAATATACTGAATTGACCAGCAAAGTTTTGACCGTGACTGTCTTTGTTTTGCAAAGTTCTCTTGTAAACAGGCACCACGCTGGCTTCCCTGAATAGCGCCATCAGCGCAATTGAATGGGAGCCACAAAGGCCTAGGAAATGAAATGTCCCTTCAATTTCCTATTCATGTAAATGATAGTTTATCGTACTGATTATTAGCTTCATGTAGTTGGGATCTGTGATGGTTCTTAAGCCTTTTATTGCCTTTTCTTAATGAACTGCAATAAAACCTCACCTCACCTGAGGGCTGACTCAGAGCCGAGGCACTCTCCAAACCTAGTGTTATAATTGCTATTAATTCATCGTTACCTATGGCAAAGGATGTCACCACACTACAAAGCAGCCATGATGTATCTCTACCCGTCGCTCATTCTCTGCAAAATGTTCCTTTTAAAGACTGCATGGGATTCCTGGAATTAACAATTTTATGTAATCTGTAAATGTAGTTTTAATAACGATACCTAGTTCCTTTATAACATCCCAGTAGACAGAATGCTGTACAAGGGAACGAGCTGTACACAAATGGCTCAAGTGTGAAGGACTGAGAAGGGAAACGACTCTCCTCGTGTCATCCTTTGGAGCAGCAGCAGGATCAAGAATAAAACCCATCTCTTTAGTACCAACTTTGTGCCATATCAGCCGAGCAGTAGGTCAGTATCTCTCTTCAAGAAAAAATGCCTACTTGTAGCTAAGGAGATTTGGCACCGTGTACTGGAGCTGTAGCCCAGTCTGATGACCTCTGAGTTAATGTGGAGGAAGTCTCTTCACTGTCTTTTTGGGAATAGAATACAAGTCAAGGCTACCAGACTCTGAATTCAGGCTTGTCCACCAGTCTTCCGTGTACCTGACATCTCAATTTTCCCATCTGAATGTGGGCAAAGATTCATATGATCCTCCAGTACCTGTGGGCTCCGGGCTGACCAGTCCATCTCTTGTAGTGTTAGTGCTCATGGACCTGGTGCCTGCACTGGACTTTGGAGTGGAAATAGGGGTGATAGCACCAGTGGAGGGTTACTGCCTACACACTGCTGGGATCTGAGCGTTTAAGTACCCACTTACAGATAGAAATGGTGAGTTTAACACCTGTGTTCTTGAGGTTTGCCAGTTGTTTGGGGCTTGGATCATTTGCTGTATCAAGTTTTGAGATGTTTCTTTGGAAACAGTGACTGATACCTGAATAGGTGTAGAGAATTTCTCTGTGTGAGATGATATTTTAACAAAGAAAGTTGCTGTCACTGTAGTAATGACTGTAGTAATGCCTGTTATGAGCCTGTTAATGGCTTCTGGACTTCTGAAGTCAGCAATCAGAAATTACCGGCCTGCTTTCTTTCAGTCCAGCCAAGGCTTATTTTTAAAAATAATACATATTGCAGAATCAGTTGATCTAACATCTTATAAGAATGTCTTATAGTAAAGGAAAAGGTGGTATTCTAGCACGTCTCTTGCTAAGGCATTGCACTAACAAGTAGACGTAAAGTCAGTTTAGTGGGGATAAATTGAAGCTAAAGCAACCTTTCAACTGAAAATAGTTATGTAAAAGGTTTGAGGTAAGATATCTGTGGGTGGGGGAGGCTGGGGAGCTGTCAGAAGTCTCACTTTGTGGAAGTGAAAAAGTGGGGCTG